CCCCCCTCAATGGCGTTGGCAGCCCATCCTCGTTCTCTTTCCAACCCGGTGCGGTATTTCAGATTTAGGCCCGGGTTCCAAGTTTAAAGAAAACATCTAATCCCAAGTCCCCAGCCATGGGTCCCAAGACTCTCCGACCAACCACTAGGAACCCATGACCCACTCTCGCCAGCTGCGGGTCCTGCACTGTCGGAGCCCTTGGCTCAAAGCCGCCCAGGCCTCTTCGGCGGAGGAAGAGCCTGCAGCGGCCGTGCCGGGCGCGTTCAGCGGTGGCAACGCGGTCACGCGGCGAACGCCCTCCGCCAATGAAGGCTTGGCCATGGCCATTGTTGTGACAGAGAGTTCGCGTGTCAAATCGCCATGGAGGCCTTCTTTATCTTCTTTTACAGTGTGAGGTTGACCATGGATTCCATGGATCGCAGTATGATAGACCCTCTAGACTCTGGAGTACATAAGGTTCAAAACGAACATGTGCGCGCGGACTCATTCAGGGGTTCATCTTCCGCATGCTCTTCATGTGATGCTGCTAATTCAATCCTGTGCTTGTACCAGCTTCGTGGCTACAGGAAGAACGATGAAGAACCGTCGAATGAGTAGCAGCAGGTCGGGTGGCTACAGGGTCGATTGAAAGCAAGGTCACGAGCTTCAAGTTCCCAACCAGCAACATAATACACGTTCCGCTCCTCCCCTTAACTCAATGAAGACACGCCATCCGTATGCACAACCCAAACGCTTCTCGAATTCCTCTTTTCGCTGCCTCTGCTCTCCAAAGCATCCACATATCGAACAAATTGAACGGATCATGTTCCACTCGTTGGAAAGATCCGATTCATGTCACGGCCCCCCTTTGGGGTGCCATATGTGTTTGGTACTACGCACGGGATGCCCGTCGACGGTCGACGGTACAATCTGCCGCTAGCGGTCGCCGACGGTCAAACATCCTGATGCCTTTGCCTAACTAGCTCAGGGATCCACTTTTTTCTGATCCGGCACGTGATGCAACTTGGTCAAACTCAAGGAGGTGTTCAACCAACAACATGCAAACAAAGACTCGACATGTGCTCGCTCAAACATCGATGCAGGTGGCCGAGTGGTCAACAAACAAACATATTCCAAGACGTGACAAATGGGACTGCCATACTTGCCGATCAGTTGGGGTGGCGGTTTGGGGGTTCAATTGATACATGCATGGATATATAGTAGATATATTCCAGTCGCATCGGTCGTGTCTGGGTATTGAAACTCTCAAAACTCTCTGAAGGATCCGCTGAAGTTGTATACAGCAGTTCTATGCAGCAAAGATCGGCCCCGGCTCCTGCACTGGACGCATCGTGCAGGGTGTTGATGAATTGCATATACTGTATACACAGGTCAGTTAGACCTCATTTTACTGGAGTTGGTCACATAAGAAAACTGAGGTAAAGGACCAGGTTTTACTGATCTTTGCACCTGTGGGGATACTTATGGATACTTTATTAGACTCATTGGACATGATGACATGTGACATGTTCACGCTGAAACAGATTGAGGCCTTAGACTAAGGTGCCCCTTTTGGCCATTCGCAGGACTTGGCCATCCCTTCTTGTGTTTAGCTCATAACGCCTGACAACTACCAGGTTTGACACACAAAGCCGAGTAAAAACAGACTCTGCAGCTTACAGCAGCTTGTAGGCCTAACCGCAGCTTGCTGGCAAGCGCTTACTAGGACACCGTGCTGGTGCATGTTGGGCACATCAAAGTATACCAACATATACCAACATGCTGGGCACCTGGTCTCAGAGTAAATGGCACAACGTTTGCGGACACAACTTTGCTGAATACACACCGACACTTGCGTTCTTTGCGGGGATGTTGGGTGCCAAGTCGCGGCAAAATTGGAGCCGCTTGTTAGTCGACTAAGGCCGCTTCATATTTCAACATTGGTCGGAAGATGGAGAGCCCACATCCACCGTTTCAAAACCGATTTAGCCATGGGAACGAAAATGCAGTGGAATAGTGGAATAGGCAAACGTGCCAGGAATAGACACATGGAGCTAATCCAAGGAGCGATCTGGATCCACCAAGCTTTCTCTCCCTTGTGGCAGTCGCTTCAGAGGCCAAAGGCCACCGGGCCCTCCCCAATTATCGGTCGCCTTCCACGAACCCTGCCGGTTCTGAGTTCCGGACGGAGGGTGAAACACCTCATGCGGCGAGAGACACCGGTTGCAGGGCGTGCACCGAAAGGGCGGTGCTTGCGGCTGCATCGTATGCAGTTGGACCATGTGTGGGCACCACTTTGGACTGGAATCCCAGAAACCGGGCACAAGCTTGGCATGATGGACATCGGATGAAGGAATCATTCTCACACGAACAGGCAACCAAGCATAGCCAAGCTGGCCGATGGCAGTCCAGAGCGCGGTCCAGCCTCGTTGATTCATTTGATCAGCGACATCCGCCTGCTTGCCCTCAATGCTAGCCAGGACCTACGGCCGAAGAAAGGGCACCATCAGACTACAATGAGCCCAGTGTAGTGTCGACCAGTTGAATTCAGTCCACCCTTCAGTCCACCATGCTGTGTTCCAGTTCGGCCCTGTCTCCTCACCCGGTGTCTACGCCCATTCCCGCATCCAGCCTCGCGCTGGTGTCTGACGAGCGGGACAAGATGGACTTCCGTTGCGTTCGTCGACCCGTCGCCATGTTCAAGGCCTGTGGCTTTGCCAAACGCGGCGCTGACCGCTGACCGGTCTGGTCCGGTTCAGGTTCAAAGGGTGTAGACTTGGATTGCTTGAGAAATCCGAAAAGACATCCCAGAAGGGGATTTACCCATACACGGAAAGAAACAATCACCCTAAGACCAAAATCAGTATTCGATAAATTATGAGCATTGCGATAGCTAAAAGTTCGCAGAATGCGCCTTGCTTGGGAACCCTGCGAGGGGGTTCTTGAGCAATCATGGATGCTGGATGCAAAAGTGGGCGGATGATCGCATGCACTTACCACCTCCGGGTGAACGACACGTGAGGAAAGTCACCATCTTAGCCAGCAGTGAACACCCTGCACATCGTTCCGGGACGCTTGGATGCCACACATCCCGTGACCTCATCTCATCAATGCTCAGCACCTTCAAATCCATGTATTGGTTTCAGTCTGGTTTGAGTCTACACCCCAACTCCTACCAAGCAAACCCAACCCCGCACTCCCACCATCTTCTTCCCACCTCCCATCCAGCAACACTGAGGTCGTTGTAGCGCAAGGAAATGTGGTTGGTCGACGTCTCGCGTCGGATGGCAGCCGCCAAGGCCTGGCAGAGGGGGAGAGGCTGGCGCTGCAGCTCAGATGTTTCACCCTCGGCTGAGAAGAGCTACGGCGAGGAGAATCCTCCGCCAGTTGTGGGGCGCAAGTTTCTTGGCGTGGGTTCTTGGTCTTTGACATGTACAAGTATGATTTACCGGGGCCGCAAACTGAACCATTGCAGTGATATTGTGTTTATCAAGTGTGGAAATATGAGGAAACATCCCATACCATCCATGTCACATACAATTTGCATTTGCCCATATGACCCCATGCAGTGTACACCACATACTCCCTGTTCCAAAAGATCGCATGGCCCTGAAGACTCGGATGGACGAAATGATACATACCAAACAGGCGGTTTTCACTCACTCACTCCCATTCCAGTCGAGAGTCAAAACTCGGATGGGTCGAGTCGACTCTGACTGTTCGGACCGCAAACCGGTCCGAACGCATTGGCCGGAGAACGGCGCCTTTGGGCGGTGCCAAGGTGCCAAGATCCATTCATTCACCGAAAAAAAAAAGAAGAACACCAGGCCATCAGGACCTTCAAGGTGCTTTAGATCCGATCACTTGTGGTCACTGAGTTTTCTTGCACCGGTCACTTAAAGACTCCAAATGAGGTCACTCTTCCCAAATGTCGACCATCTGTGCGTACAGTGGTGGGAAGTCTCAACAGAGTGACGATGAGTGACCCATGTGTCGTTGACTCGGAGTCTCGACAGCAAGTCGACAGCCGCGATGAGTCGAGCCGTCTCCGTCTCCGGGGCTTGGCTTGGAGAACTGTCACGAGAGTTCCGCGGGGGTCTTGCGGTTTTCCACGAGATCATTTCAGCGAGGGAAACCTTGACCACGGTGGCCACCGTTCACCAATCGACAACTCCCGGGTGCCCGTCTGCGTCGCGTCGTGTGACCCGCATCGCGTCGATGCCGGAGGCCTTCGCGGCTTCGTCGTGAAAGCCGCAGCGGTCCAGGTTCAGTTTAGGCTCCTGCATCATGCAAAGGAAGAGGTCTAAACTGAACATGGTGACTGAGGAGGTTCCGCTGCCCAGGTTCAGTGGGAAGATTGAGTGGTGCCCATCAGTGGGGATCAGTGGGGATCAGGGAAAGGAAGGAAGGTCTGGACAAAAAGGGTGCAAGGATGAGTATGATCGAACCCACAAGGGATTCTCCAAGGTATGAAATGTATCTGTCAACCATAGACCATAGATGATAGATGATGATAGATTCCAGTGATCACTTTTTGTGCGACCAACCAGGGAATTTTGCACATGGATGTCACAGTCAAGTACATCCTTTGGGCCACCGTATCTCCTGAGAGCTCACACTCTTCCCGATCCGACTTGGTTATGGAGGTTCTTAAACTCTCCCCAGCATGATCTGTCAAGGAATCTCTGTCCCAAACCAGCCAGCAGCTTAATCAAGCATATGGAAGAGAAGCGGGACTGCCACTAAATACCCTCACTTCTTCCTCTCCGGTCTTGCGCTTGTCCGGAGTGGCTCCAGTCTGGAGCCCAAACTTATCCCTTTCAATCGAACACCGGTTTGATAAGAAGAAACAAGGGGGACTGGCATCGTCCTCACCGGTTTGGTGGTTGATCCTACCGTCATCTACCGGTCCTACCAGTCCCACTGGTCGATTCCGGTTCTAGAACCCCCATGGGGAGGTGGTGGACCTGGGCGTCCGACTGGCGTCGTCTCGACCCCTCCTTATAGCTTCCAGCCAGGAAAGCTGCAAATGCCTGGCACGATGGCGTGCCTCCTGACAAAAAGGTCTAAATGTTCGGTCCATGTCCAATTGTAGAATCTCTAATATTATGCTAATTGACCTTTAAATCAATTTTAGTAAACCTGTTACAAGGCCGGCTGTGGCCTCCAAATGTCTGGGCCATAGCAGAATTGATTCTTGCTAAGCGACACGCGCGTGATGCGAATCCCTACCACCTTTGCGGACTCCATCGCTCGGAGTGTTCAACGGTGCGACTCGGGTGACCCTGGTGTGGATTCCCTCCCCATGAACCTATCGGGTATGACCTATTTTGGGGGGTCGTGAAGTATGTGGCGGACCAAATCGGATCCTGGCGAACATGCAACATGTTTCTAGTTTCTCCATCCATCACTTCTGGCCACTTTCGCCACGGGCATGTCATCCTCTGTCTCCACCATGACAGCCAAGCCATGCCATGAGAAACTGGACGGACTTCCGCCCAGCCATCCATGACTTCGGCTTTCTGCTTCACCAATCGATCGGCCCGGCTGACCATTTCGGACAGAGGTCGCTCCCGCCTGGTTGGGCTCCTGGCCCGACAGCTCAAACAGCTGCAAGGCCTCAGGTTCACACGAAGGGCCCAGCCCGGACATCACAGCGAAGGTCGGGCCTAAACAATATCAAACACGATCAATCACGATCATCACCAAGCCAATGGCTGCCTGGCAGTCACCCAGCTCATCATGTCAAGTTCTGATCTGTCCAAAACGGCAAGAGTGTTTCCTTGGACACAACGGGAGAAAACTCTAGTATACTATAGGTGAGAAAAAATCACAATTACAAACCTTATTCAAACCCCACACACTCCATGTATGCCCCCCTGCGAACCCGAAGTCGAACCTCCCCCCCAACTCCTCGTGATGTGTATGCCATATATGCCTACATTGACCCCCCAAGCCACCCCAATGTAGGTAAATATGCCAGTCACACAGAGTGTCTGGGAACTGTACAAGGTGAGCGGCGCAATTGAATATTCATTCATCCCTGCACCGTGTTTGACGGTGCTCCGACCGTTTTGATCTGCCTCCAAGGAGGATCTGCCGGCGGCGGAGACCAGAACCTGAGAGCTTGGCCGCGCCCAGGAGCCCAGCTGAGCACATGGTGTTTAGGGCCGGAACTCCACAAGGATAAATGACGTTTTTTTACGAGTCACCGGTTGTATCGTCATGAATTGGGGACAACATAGAACTAAAATTAATGTTCATTGGCAGGTGCTTGTGGATATATGTTTCTTGACGGAATCGATATGACTCGTAAGGACACAGAACAGCCGTTCCCACTCGTCAGAACTGGGAAATACAAGTGTTGTTCTGATCCTCCTGACTCATTACCTCAGGTTGATTTAGGCATGTATTTTAATAGGGAGGCCCCCAACCCACGATGTCTTGGTCTAGTTCTCTTCTTCCAGGGGTCGAACTAGGAGGTCCTCCTATTTAAAATACACACCCATTGGAATGCACCACAAACAAGGGGTACTGGAAAGGTCAATCTTCTCAGCCACACAGAGCGAATCTCAACCCCGCATGAACCAACGAGCGCCCGCATCCTGAACCAACGAGCTTGTGACCCAAATGTCTGAATCGCGTTGGGTACAGTACACTCTGGCTCACTAACACGGAAGTGGATGGCATGGTCCCTATAGGAAGACTGCATTCCTCTACCAACAGGGTGTTACTGAGGCCAAGTGTATCTTTCAAAGGGTGAGAACCTGTCCCCGATGATGAGCCGCAGGCCACGGTCGCATTTACATCCCTCAGTCGCAGCTTTTTGTTCAAATCATGGGGCCTTGGGATGCTTTCTTGCAAACGAACCTGCCCCTCAAAAGAACCCATATACACTGAACGCATGGCGAAATGAACCCTGGAATAACTTCCTCAACCCTCCCTAACCGGGTTCGCGCGGTTCGACCAACAACGCGCGCCTGGATGCCTAGATCTTCAATCACGTTCCCAACCATCGCCAACTTCCTCAAGGAGTTGTTCTGGTACAAAGCCGCCCCGAGCGCCTTGGCGCGGCTGGGGGTGAAGAGGCACAAGAAGAAGAAGAAGAAGAAGAAGCTCGGTCACCATCCCTTTTTCAGGTCAGGAGTTTCGGACAATTGTTGGAGTTGATCTATACCCCTAGGTCTCCAACCATATCCTCAGGTTCGGTGGTTAGACCCCCCTGGCACCCACCCTAACCACCTTTGAAACAGAGGTAGGCCAGGAGCCCAAACGGGTACAAACACGACCAGGTCGACCAGGTAAAAAACAAACAAAACGCGGCACGGACGGGAACCGACCTCCTCGGACCGAGCGTGGCCGAATCTCCATGTCCAGACACGTCAGCACCCGCATCGCCGATGTTGTTCTTGTTTAAGATGATCTCCCGCAGGGTGTTGTTGACCAGCAAAGCTTCTGACAAGGCCTCGCGCCGAACCAAGGGATGCCGCAGGCCACGGCAAGCGGCAACGTGCCGCTGGTGGAAAACCAGGGACACACTAAGCAACACTCCAGCAATTTTGGCGCACAAATTCCTGGATCCCTTTTTCAACTGTTCAACCAATGCGATTGAAAAGGGTCCCCAACAGACTGATTCCAGCAATTGAAGAAGGTCTCCCAGACACTCAGCGAAGAATGTGCTCTAAGCAAAGGGCACGAAACTCTTGTCCTGCTAGCTGGAGTCTCTCTACACTGAACTCTCCGAAATCAGACTCAGTGACGCACCTGTGCTCCAACATCTCCAATGGAGTTCATCCCGAGGTTCAAAATAAACAACGAGGAGTTCTCCTTCAGCGCATGTGATAGCGCCTGTCGCGTGGTGTGGTGCAGGCAGTCATGTCGTGGGACCAGACGACCTACAGCATGTCATTTGACCTACCAAATGATCCTACTCCTTAGGTGCAGGACGGGATTTCTGCTGCTTTTGGTCTTCCAGGGATTCTTTTGTGCGGTTGCCCAAGAATCCCACTGGGAGGCCCAGTAAGACATGGTCATCCTGGGTGAAGATCGGAATCCGCACATCAAATCTTTAGAGGAATTGCTCCAAAGGCAACTTCACGTTTAATTACAGGCGGGGATCATCGATTCTGAAGCACGGTATTGCTCTTTCTAGGTATGTGGTAGAGGAGTATGTAGGGAAAGTTGGAGTACGCCCCCCTGCCCTATTCAGTTTCCTGCAAGACCGTTTTTTGTGTCAAGCCAATGTTGCTCTCCATGAAATGGATGTGTCATGACGTCCTCTGGGTCATGGTGCCTTAAGGAACGAACTGCAGAAAAATGGTCGCCCTGAAGGCCAGCACCCACCACACACAGAACCTAACTACACCTGCCAGGCAACCCTGGCTTGTACAGAGTTCAAATCTGGGGGACAAAACCCCACATTTGAAACAGAGAGAGGGATTTAAGCATGTGCTGATATGCAAAAAACATTGATCGAACTCTAAAATCAGGTCCTGCTCCTGGAGAATGTGCTCCGTGCTTTCAATCATGGTTGGAATATAGACCCAAACAACACGACCGCCCAAGTCGACCATATTGAACCTCTAACCTAATACCTCAGCTGAGGACCTCAACCTATAAGCCAGACCTGATTCGGCCCACGAACTGAAAAATACCCTAAACCAAAAAGGCCTCTGGCGCGCTTTCGCCGAACCAATCCTCGTTCCCCCGTACCACGCCTGAGCACCAGGGGCCTTCACGAAGTTTTGCTCCAAACGTAAGTGCAGCACCGATTTGTTGCTCGTCAGGTCCATGGACAGCGCCTCAAACGCCGGAGCCCGTGCGGAGCGCCCGCCCGGTTTCGAGAAGCACCCCTCGCACCCGCAAAAAGCACGCCATGCGATGAGAGGCGACCCAGTTGGGATCAAACGGAGCTTCCAAATAGATAAACACGACACAACGTAGAAGCTCGGAAGGGAAAAACCCGGGGGGGGAAGGTTCCTCAGGACTGGTTCACTCATTGAGGACTTGGCGAAGGTTTAGCTTGGCGGCTCATGACCGCAGCTCGTCTCGTCGGTCACTTGAGGACGATAATTGGCACCAAACAATGTTTTCTTAAACCCTAAACCGTGTCACTTTGCAATGATGTCTGATTTTTACTCACCGCTTCGGACAGCTGTTTGGTCTAGTAAAAACCTTCTAGCCAGCATCCAGTAGTCTGGAAGAGGGAGCGCCATGAAGAGGGTGATGGACCTTCCTCCAGTGAAGTTGGAACGTGGCCGGTGTTAAGACCTCAATAAACCTCAATATGTTTTGTGTGCAAGCCAACCGTTCATGGAAGAAATCCTCATCTGCCCCCCACACCATGGGTTCTTCCCGGGAAACCCGAAAGAACGGACGAACCTGCCCTGCCCCAAGTGGACACCGGTGGACACCCGCTGCACCTGGGTGACGTCGTCCCCAAGGCAGCAGAAGTGGAGATCCAATTCGTCCTACAAGAACGCGACGCAGCGAGCACGAACGCCACCAGCTGCGTTCACCGTGACACCACGTACAAAAGGCCCAGGACATGCTGCCCAAAAGCTGAGCCGTGTGGGGTGGTTGATTGGTTTGAGCTGCTTGTGTGTGTGTGTCACTGTGTCTCAAAAATGATGGGACACCCGAAAGAAATCACAGTTTTTTGGAAGGAAAAAAACTTAACCTCGTTGGTCGGAGGGAACATCGTCTATATGTTCTGCTGAAACAGAATGAACAACACCTTTAAGTTCAAAACTGTATGGTTCAAACACCATATCATGGGTGTGCACACCAACTCCACTACATCTGCGGAGATCTGGTGGAAGAATGCTGCATGTCTCGCTACCCTATGCTACCTTCAGATTCTTGTTTCATGAAACATCTCGGGCTTTGGGCGTCTAGCTGTGATTGGAAAAAGCACTTGGACAGATGAGGGGGAGGAGGACAACATGAAAAGAAACACTGAGTAACTAAAAAGAACAAAAGTTTTTCCAAGCTAGCTTGCTTTACCCCAGGCAAACTATTCGACACAATTCGTAACATGTCCATATATATATATCCCTAAGCATCCAGCGTGGGTAAATAGTTCATACATTCAGACCCGTAGGAAGATTCTGAGCACATCACCTTGACATTGCCATATGTAGGCAGAATATGGTCACATCAATCTTGATTGATTTCCGATACTTCTTACCCTAGGTCAAAGTGCAGCATCACACTCC